TTTGTTTTGGTTTTTTCCTGGATTCAGAGTTTTGAGTCCTGGGTTGCTGTCTGGTCAGTGGCATGCCTACTCACCAACAATCCTACCCCATTCAAAAAACAAATTCAGTTGGTCAAATAAAAATTAAAGAAAAACAGAGTATTTATGAAAATAATTAACTTGTACAAAACATACCAAAATCTGAACCATTTTATAACTTTTTTCTTGTTGGACATATTGCTGACAAAGATGTATATAATCATGTGATAATTTTAATCTACAAAACAGAGGACTGATTGGGCAAAAACCCAATCCAGACCCTTACCCAAAATCATAAATTGGTTAGTATCAGAGAAACAGAGAATTTAGAAAAGTGATTATACAAAACAAACACTATTTTACAACTTTCTTCTTAACATCAGAGTCCAAATGCAATTTCAGGGCCACCAACCCTGCTCTGAATTGTGACCTTCTGTGCTTGAACAAGCTGCAGATTCTCTTAATATTCCTCCAGAGTTGTGACAGCTTGGTCACAGAGCCATCCTTATCCTAGAGTAGGATCACTGCAGGCAACTTTTCAGCCAGCATGCCAGCGGCCATCTCTGGACTGGTGTTGTGAGGGAAGATTAGTGAAAAGTGTCATTGATGATTGGTGCAGTCTCGGTAAACTCCAGGGCCATACACCCCCCCTAGAATTCAGTTGCATCATCATATCTCAGGAGAGCCATGGTCAGGTTAGCCTTGTGTACACGAGGAAAATGTGAGAATGACTGTAATGTTCAAGATAGCGTGTGTGCTTCAACGCCTGACAATTTCCGATAATCAAACGTCACATACTAATACTCAAATTGTTTCAATTGCTGCCTTGACATCTTGTAATTATAATATTATAATTATATATTAATAAAGAAAAATGCTAATCGTTTGTTGTTGATAAGGATTTTATACGCATTTTGATTCCAATTAAAATATTTATAATAACCAAAAAAAAGACAATAAATATATATATCAATACAAGTAAAAAATAGTACCTCTGGTTAGTTATTAATACGTTTTCTTTAGGAGACCAAAACCAAACCAAACCAACAACACTCACGTTTTGTCACCTTGGACACTGTCAAAAATAAATTGTTTTTCCAAAAAAAAAAATCAATTCGCGTCTGTCCTCCACCAATAGGATGAATAATTAATGTGTACGCGTTTGTCGATCAAATCATGAACTTTTTTTTTTTTAATAAAAAAAAAATGCCACGTCAAGTAAAAAGAAATCGAGAAAACAATTGGGAGGTGGTTGCTGGGTAAGTCTTTTAAGAATGGTGGCGGTGGTTATCGCCACTCGTCGTCACTCTAGTTTCTTATTAATAAATGGTATTTTTTTAAAAAAAAAATTATTCAGAAGGCCCAATGAATCCAAATATACTAGTAAACTTCTAAATGATTTAACAAAGTTGTTAATTGAAACGGACTATTATGATATAGAAATTAAAGTTGGAGAAGGTCTGGATGTTAAAACTTTTAAGGCTCATTCTACTATTTTAAAAACAAGATCTTCATATTTTAAAGTAGCTTTATCAACTAATTGGGTTAAAAGATCTGATGATGGTATTATTTTATTTGAGAAAGATAACGTTTCCCCAAAAGTGTTTGAGGTTCTTTTAACGTAAGATTAATTAATTTAATATTGATTAAAAATATAATATAAATTTTTTTAAATGAAATATCTAAATATTTATTATTTTTTTATTAAGATATATTTATAATGGAAATATTAATACAGATAATTTGGATTTTTGTGAAATTGTTGAACTTCTCGTAACAAAAAAAATGCCACGTCAAGTAAAAAGAAATCGAGAAAACAATTGGGAGGTGGTTGCTGGGTAAGTCTTTTAAGAATGGTGGCGGTGGTTATCGCCACTCGTCGTCACTCTAGTTTCTTATTAATAAATGGTATTTTTTTAAAAAAAAAATTATTCAGAAGGCCCAATGAATCCAAATATACTAGTAAACTTCTAAATGATTTAACAAAGTTGTTAATTGAAACGGACTATTATGATATAGAAATTAAAGTTGGAGAAGGTCTGGATGTTAAAACTTTTAAGGCTCATTCTACTATTTTAAAAACAAGATCTTCATATTTTAAAGTAGCTTTATCAACTAATTGGGTTAAAAGATCTGATGATGGTATTATTTTATTTGAGAAAGATAACGTTTCCCCAAAAGTGTTTGAGGTTCTTTTAACGTAAGATTAATTAATTTAATATTGATTAAAAATATAATATAAATTTTTTTAAATGAAATATCTAAATATTTATTATTTTTTTATTAAGATATATTTATAATGGAAATATTAATACAGATAATTTGGATTTTTGTGAAATTGTTGAACTTCTCGTAACATGTGATGAACTAGATTTTAGTGAATTACTTGATGATTTACAAAACTATTTAATTACAGAAAAACAAAAATGGATTCAACAGGATTTAAACCATCTCTATCAAACTACATCAAGACATCTATCATTTAATATACTTGGGGATTATTTTGAAAAATTGATCAACAATAATCCAGAATTATTTTTAAAATCTGATGATTTTAATGATATAGAAAAATCTGTACTTATTACTTACTAGAAAATCATCACTTATAATTCAAAGAAATTGATATTTGGAATTCTGTTATTCAATGGGGAATTGAACAAATTAAAATTTCGGGGGAAAATATATTTCAGTTTGGAATGATGATGATTATAAAGAGTTAAAAACATAGTAGAAGATATTATTCCTTTAATTAGATTCCAGGATATCTCTAAGGAAGATTTTTATGACAAAATTAAACCTTATCAAAAACTTTTTCTGAAGTTTTATGGGAAAACCTTATAAATTATTATTTGGATCCTGGTGATGTACAACAAGCATTAAATTTATTACCACCAAGAATTCCATCATTAACAATCAATCATAATTTTATTTTACTTTTTGCAAGTTGGATTGATAAAAAAAATACACCATACACTTCATTCAGGGAAATCAAATATAAATTCAAACTTTTGTATCGTAGTAGTAGGGATGGTTTAAATGAAACTACATTTCACCAAAGATGTGATAATATCAACAAGACCCTTGTAGTTGCCAAAATACAAAATTCAGAGCAAATTGTTGGTGGTTATAATCCACTTAATTGGAATGGAAGTGGGTTTAAAAACACAACAGAAAGCCTTATATTTAATATTGGCAATAGAAATGATATCAACACTGCACAATTTAGTTATGTAATTAATTGTCAGTGCAAGCATGCAATTTGGTGCTTTCCTACTTGGTTTCCCAAGTTTGGTGGTGGGTTTGACCTTACATTTAATACGGAGTGTTGCTTGGGTGGCTCACCAAGATCCTATAATAACATCAACATAGTAAAGGGCACCAAATTTGATGAATTTGAAGTTTTTCAAATAGGATAAAATAATAATAATAAACATAATGTTATTTTACTTTTGTTATTATGATTTAATATTAAATCATTATTTATAAATGACTAGGTTTGATTGATTATAATAATTGATAAACAATAATACATCATTAACTGTGATGAAATATGTTATTTAGAGATCTCTATGTAATTTTGTATGATATAATGTTCACTTTTCCTGGTATACCCCATATATTATTATCATATGTATTTATTTATTATTATATATATAATATTGACACATGCTTATTTGTACAGTTGCTACACTTGGAAACAATTCGTCAGATTTCCCCAAGTTGCTGCTCTATCAGACAAAACTCCCCAAGCAAAAACATACAATATATACCATCATAACATAAGTCAAGTACATAAACTCTTGCTATGAAGCCTTTATCAATAAAATTTAATATATGTCGGACAAATTTTTTATTAATAGAACAAAAAGATTTTCCATATAAAATTTGCTAACCAATGAATTGTCATCTGCTCCATCTTTAACAGATTGATCCAAAGTAAGCTTTCATGGGTTTTCCAAGTATTACCAGATCTTCACTTATTAAATACTTTTTGACTTTTTGAGATTTGATTTCTCCCAAGAGTAACTCAATATATTTACCTGGCTTAGTTGTCATTACTGTAAAGTCTGGTTTAGATCCTAGCAAACATGGATCAAATTTCTATTGGTAATAGCTGAAGATTTTGACATAAGATTGGCCCTGCAATAAATAACCCAAAATCAAAAAAGACAAATATTTATAAATATTATAATTATACAAATCATAGAATATATGTCACTCTATTTTAATTTTTCCATTTTCATGAAAAAATGGATCAATTGCTGGAGAAATACACCTATGAACATGTGTATCCATCCTCTATTTTATTATTTCTTGTAAAGGTTGACTGTTGATTGTTAAATCTATACAATGTAAAGTAGAATTCGTATTTAGAAAAGTTTACTTCTTGTATTCATATAGATATTTTGAAACATACAGGTTATTACAAATTTCAACCATTATTTTTTCCATATTTTTGACTTTAAACTGTTAAGAAAATCTTTTAATTTTGCTTCACGTTTTGATCTTCTTGTTGTTATAAAGTGAATTGATTACACAAAAATATTCTGCATTTCTCGTGAAAAGCGAGATACAAAATTAGTTAGCACCACACACTGCTTGGCCACGAAAAAATCTCGCTTGTCAAAAATCGTTATTTTTATTAATGACATCAACAATTCTGCCACATATAATTAATTACAATTTGTTAGATTTGAAGTTGTGGAAGATATTAAGCTATACATGTATAATAATAAATTAGAAAATAAATCAGCAGTATCGAAAGGATATTTATAAATAAATAATTGAATTCTTAATCTCCCAAAATGATTTATTTGGATTAAGTTAGGGAAAAACAAACAGATATAAGCAATTATCGGGAAGGGGAGAAGATCAAAAAAAAAAACATACAAGATCCTATATACAATTATTAGCATATATATATATATATATATATATATATATAAATATTGAATTATCATTTAATCAAAATCACAATTCTCTTATTCGTCTTCAATACCAGCTTTATATGATATAGGCTCGTAAATCATTACTTCGTCTGTGGCATGTGGACCCAATACTTCATCAGGCCAAGGATATTTAATTTCGATATCCGCTTGTATTTGTTCAGATAAATCTACATTTTCCAAATTATTATCAATTTCATCATCATCCATATAATTAATATAATTGGATTTATATTTATTGGTAGCATTGGTAGTAGCCTTGAAGGAATTTTCATAAGCGTCAAGATCATCCTGTGAGAATTTCTTCCATTCAATATTTGAAAAACAATCATTGACGTCATCACATGGCGGTGTTGGTGGTATTTCCCATTCTGATCCATCACCAACCTGCTCTATTATAGTGCTATATTCATCATTATAGAATTCGTCTATATTTACAAGATGAGGCTTAGAAAGAGAAAATTTGTAAACTTCCTCCTGGAGCCAATTTTCCCAATTGTCGATAAATGAATTTTCCAATAAAATATCATCTATATAGGCTGAATTGGTATGATCTAAAGGTTTGGTATAGTGTGGTGGAAATATTTCTGTAGAGTCTTCATCGAAACCATTGTGATGAATACCATTTGATTGATGATCATCATAATTTATAAAATAATATTTATCGTTATAAAATTTTACCAATGCTCGAAGATTTTGTTCCTGTGGCTTTTTAAACAAAGTATTGATGATAAAAAATCGTGGAATTTAATTTTAATTTATTAAAAAAGAAAAAAAAAATCATAAATATGCAAATATTTAAAAATATGTGCTTGCCAACGCATCATCAATTTCAGCATCTACGTCAGGCGAAGAGATCCATTCATCTCTCAAGTCTGGTCGACATTTTAGGTAAATTGCTGTGATTAATTTCATGTTATCTTTTATTTTAATTTTATAAAGAAAATTGAATTAATAATTAGTAGTTAATAATTAACTAATGGACGAAAGAAATTTGTAAGATTTATTATTCTATATAATAAACTGTATAGTTACTTTGACGCCATTTCCTTCCAATAAAGGGCATTTGATTCTTTAATACCTTTAAAGCATATAATTCCATTGTTGGATGTGACACTTTGAGAATTTTTTTCAGAATGGCCTAAAATTTATATCATAAACAATTAAACTAAAAATTATAAAAATTATAAAAAAGACAATTTGAAAAAAAAATTGTTTCCAACTTACGGAGGATTTATATTGTACTAATAACAAAATTCTGTGTGTCTTTTTTTTAGTTAATTTTTGGGCTATCCTTAGAAAATTTATAGCTGTAAAAAAATTTCTCCAACTAAAATCCAAATCAATAATAGTTTCAATGTTATTTTCCATGTTTATTTCATTATAACCTTCAACACTGTTGTAGTTTGATTGAACCTCATCAACATCATTAATCTCATCAAGATTTAAATTTCCATTTTTTTCTGATCGCCCTTGGACCTTTGATGATGGCGATGAGCATTCAGAATAATTGTTGTTACCGGTGAAATTAAAGTTATCTATTGAATTATTTTCTAATGTTTGGATAGGATTATCTTTTACTTTACGACAATAATGAAAAAAACTTGCAAATCAAAAAAAAATTTTCAAAAAGTTAATATTAAAATTTTTTCTAATGAATAAATTAAATAGTAAAATGCAATAAAAATTGATAAACTTAAGGTGATTTTTACTTTAAATCTTCTACTTCATTCTTAGCTTTGATGGATACACTTATATCTTGTAAGCCAAACATTTTTAATATGAGAAGCAGGCAATTTGAATCAATCAATAATTGTGAAAGATATTCAAATTTTAATACGTCTTTAATGTTATAAATATCGAAATGTTAATAAACATTAAAGATAAAAAAATTCAATGAAAGAAGGTAATAGTTTGATTTTTCCTCAAAATTTGTAATGTATTAAAAAGGATACGAGATACTTTTAAATGTTTAAGAATCAATAATAAGATTGCCGATACAGCTTTAGAGGTAATTTCTCGGTGTCTTATGATATCAACTTCTTCAACATTATTACCATTTGTAAATGTTTGAGTATTTGGATTGTTCTCGACATTAGATCCTAATTAGTTTATTTAATTATTTTATTAACGTCATTATTAAATAATTATTTAAGAGTCAGTGATATCATCATTGTATTTAAATTATCATCACCATTAAAATTATTTGTAGCATTTCCTTTTTGAGGATCGTTATTTTCAGTGCCTTTATTGTTGTTAGTATTTGATGATATTGTTGCTAATAAAAGTTTCAGAAGCACGACAACTATGTTATTCATATACGGAAGAATTGACCTCTATATGTTGATCAGTCAATGAATAATTCAATTGTCAAGAAAAAAAATATATAAATATATTTCATGATTGACAATAATTGGTTAAAATAAAGGATACATAAAGAAATTCAACTCTGCCCAATTTTTCTTTATCTTTTTGTGTAACAGAATCATTATTATCAAGAAGGGGTAAAGAAGCATCGTTATTTATAATTCCTTCCATTTCATTATAATTTGATCCATTGATATTAAAATCAGGGTGATTTAGTTTCATTTCTTCCTTAATTTTCCGAGATTGGATCGCTGATAGACTTGTGTACATGAATTTTAAATATAGATCACCAGCCTCCATAATTGATTTTGGTATAGTTGGCTCAGATTTTGAAAATGGAAAAATGAAAGGTTGTCTTTGATTTGTTTGAAACTGTTGTTTGCGTGATTTTGTTGATGAACTGTTGTTAGCGTTGGAATTATTGTTGTTGTTTTGTGTCGACATTTCGCTAGAGTTACTATTGGTGCTAAAATTAATATTATTGTTGTTGTTTGTATAAAAAAAAATATTCGAGGATTCTTTTTGTGCAGAAAATGGAGGTGGTGCATATGTTGGGTATTTTTGAGTAGCTTCGCTTTGAAAAGTTTGATAATCAAAGGGAGTTGATTTTGTTAAAAATTCTAAAAAAAAAACGGACATTATTGTGTAAATATGTAGATATATAGACATAAATGTAAATATATATATCTGACCCTTATTGTTATTTACTGGAGGTAATCCATTAAGCATTCTCATAGTATCCTTTTTTTTTTTAATATCATCTACTCCTCCTAAACTTGCCAAGATAACTTTCCACAATAAAAGTAACAACTTTAAGAAAATTCAAAATATGTTATTATCGTTATTATTATTATTATTATTATTATTATTATTATTATTATTCATTAATTCTTGACATATGTATATATATTATTTCTCAATAACCTTTTTCACAGGATATCCTTTAACATTTTTGTCTTTTTCTCTCAAAGAAGCAACAGTCTCAAAAAGAAAAACTGTCATTGGAGGATCAAGGTCAACTAGTTTTAACAATTTATAATTGTTAATAAATTTCAATAATAATAATAACAAATCACATTAACTTATTATCATTAAATCAATAATAGACAAACTTAATTCATTCCCAAAATTTTCATCAGAAAGATTAACTTCAACTAGCATGTATATTAATGTTAAATAAAACCCAATTTCAGTGTTTACATCATCTATGTATGCTTGTCTATCGGTGACATTATCCAAACGACTAAAAGAAAAAGATTGTTAATTAATTAACATATATATTTTTAGATACTAAATCACATAAAATACCTATAATAATCATGTGCGCGACAAGTCATTTTCAATGCTTGAAAGTATGATAAAAGAGCGCCAGATTTCCACAAAAGTTTATTGTTTTCAATGATTATTTCAATATGATGTTCTTTTGATGATGTCTCACCAAACACACCTAGAAAATATAATAAAAAAATTATATTATGATTTTCAAAAATAAATTAATTGACAATGAATACAATATAACAATTACCTTGTGCAATATATAATAGTTGTTTAGCTGCTGAAAGTCTTTTAGTTGGATCTTTAAAATCCAATATTTCCAACAAATACTCTATATATGTACGACGCTCAGATATTGTACTAGGGATCCAAGCTAATTGTTAAATAATTAAAATCAATTCAAGATTCCCATGAAAATTATAAAAACTGATATCCAAATATCCGATAATTTACAATCTTTAAACCCATCTTCAAACTCTTTTTTATTATCGAGGCATTGTCGAATTTCAACATAACTATAGAATTCATCAATTTCATTAGAGATGACATCACAGTCAGAATAGTTGAACCCGAATTCCTTCGTCTAAATAATATACGAAGAAATAAATATAATTTATTAAAAATGTTATTATCGTACCAAAGAATTCAAAAGAACTATATAAATTATAATATAGTAGAAAGGTAATAAAATAAAGGTTTAATGACTAATTGATTGGAAAAAACAGTATAAAAACGCGTAAGTAAAATCTGCATTCTATATATACAAGTTACCTTTTGTTTATTTGGAAATTGTTTGACAATTTTTCTTAATTGACCTAATGTAAGCGAATCAGCAGCAGTGTCACAATCGGTTTGTTCTTTTGAAGACTCTATAAAATCAGTCATTTTTAATTTAAAGCCAGTATAAGTAAAAATTGTAAAGTTAAGGAATCTGTTTAAGCCTAATTTATTTTGACAAAAAAATTTTATAAAATTCACAAGAAATTGTATTACATACGTAAATTTACTTCCATTAATGGACAAAAAATTAATTAATAATTTTTTCATATGAATTTATATTTCATATTTAGTTAACTTGTATATATATATATATATATACATACATTTAAATATTATCTACAAAAGAAAGCTCTTTAAAAACATACTAAATAAAACCAAATTAAATTGTTGTAATATAAAATAATAGTAGTATCAATAATTTATTTCAATTGTTTCAGAACTCGGAATCTGGATTATCAGCCAATTTGATTTTAAAGCATATTTAAATTTAGGCCCAGTTGCTCCTCCAGTATAATTCCCGCCAGCATTTTAAATCCTTTACCTGGATATTGTGGCCGGGCCATTAAGGATTCACCGGATAATCGATGAATATCATTCGGCGGATACAACCACTAACAGTGACTGATTTTAATATATGATCGAAGGACACCGGGTAATTATAAATGAACTATCATCCCAACAAACCTTAGTGATTGATTTTTCATGATTCTAATGCTTCAACAATAAAGAATTTTAGCATTCTTCTTTTTCTCTCTGTTTACTATTTTATCACTTTTAAAACTTCAAAATTAAAACTCACAAACACCTGCACCTAAACATATCTCATGTACTATGTAAAAGTCGTTCTACGTACCAATGTTGGCCAACCTATATATACGTGTTCTGATTTAGACACTAAAGACAGCTCAGGCACATTATTTAATATCGCCATCACGTGCAGTTAACTTCAAAGTTAAAAATATCAAGTTAACAATTGATTTTTCATTTTATAATAAAAGAATAGTATAATTTGTAAAAGAAGAGAGAGACATTTTTATTTTGAAAGAAAAAAGCTTTAATAAGTTGTTTCATAATTATAATATGGTGCGCGAAGTCTATAACCACCATTTACTGTGCCACACTGCCAAATTTCACCAAAAACTCAAAAACCAAAATT